GGCTGGAACTTGGACAGGTGGAGGGGTGGGTGGGGGGGATGGGGTAGGGAATACCAAGCCCTTCCTTGAGCACCCTGAGCCTGTGTGGAAAGGGGATACAGGCTGGTCTATCTCATATTTGTACTCTTCTCTTCTCCTCCTCACTCTCCTCTACCTTGGGACCATTCTGGCTTTTGAGGCTCTCTACATCTTGTCTAAAACCTTCCCTTCCAGTTTTATCTGTAAATGTAACTCTCTGCACCTCCTCCCAACAGCTTATGATTTCCCCACATATGCTACATGTTTTTTTAAAACCTTGAATTTCTATATGGTGATATCTCAAGCTTTAACTTCATCTGATGAAATCCTGCTACTTATACAAGAACCAGCTTATAATTGTGTGTTAGTTATCCTGGCAAACTTTCCTACTTCCCAACACTCATCCCCAGGTAGTTAGATTGTGTCTGTGACCCACTGTGATCTCATAACACCCCCTGTACAAACAAACCACACTGTAATTGCTTTTTCGCCCCTAGAAGAGATGGTATGAGAACTCTTCCAGGGTATAAAACATGCTTTGACATGCTCTTGGTGCCACTTTCAGGGCACTCAGCAGACAGCCAACATATCGTTTTGTCCTGTTATTATCAAAATCCTAAATCTGCCAGTGAGAAAATTATCGAATCTCAGATTTCTCTTTGAAATAGAAAGGAACATTACCTTCTTAAATAGTCCCAAGGTTAAATAAAACTGTCTGAAGTGTTTCAGCACAAAAATAAGTAGTATGAACCTGCTAGCAGTTATTAAATTAACTCCGATATTCAGATATATAAGAGGAAGGAAATGGTCCTTTCTAGCTAGAAATGGGATTCCTGTTTTGAAAGAAAAATTTGCTTCTGATACCATAATCTTAGTGGAATTGTGAGAAAATAGGTTTAAAAATTGTCTGAGTGATATTTGAAAGCTGTTTATTGAATAGATGCTAGGTAATATTTTTAATAAATCCAAAATATTAGGTAGCTCTTGGTATTTGATAACAAATGGGTGAGAAATATACAGATTATAATATTTTGAGAGTTATTCATAACATTGTATATCAATAACTAAAAACAGGGAAATAAACAAAGCATATTTTTATGATGACTTTCTCAAGGGCTTTGCATCTCTCTATATACATACTTATCTAACTATTATGTCTTTATAAGTACATAGATCTTACAAAAATTCTGTAAGTAGACTTGTATACATTCAGTTTAAATTTTTTTAAGTGGTAGAAAAAGTTGCAAGAAAATAGGCTAATGAAAACAAACAAACAATTGCTATGAATTGCTATATGGGTCATACCCAATCTGTTATGACTTGTTACTCCAAATTGGGCTCTTTTGTCTATTGGCATATTTTAAAATACTAAATGAGTTACCCACATTTTCATTACTGTATCTTTAAGTCCTGTTTTTTTTTTCCTTGCTTACCACATTTTTATTTTAGATAAAAATGAAAAAAGATATTACACAGAAAATTAACATCAACATCTGAGGAATTACAGATTAAGAAAATGTCACATAGTTCAGTACCTTTTCCAGTACTCTTATAACTCCCCCCTCTCAGAAGGAAATTCATGAACTATAGTATTTGAGGAGCTTCTCATCTGTAGGTTTTAGAATTTTCTTATCTGCCATACTAACCACCCATCCAGGAGCAAGACCAAAGAAAATCTGCCTTGGATCTTTTCGAGTGCTAAGCATTTTGAAGAGTTCATTTTTAGTGATATCAGGCAAAATATAACCATACTTCTTAGTAAGTTCAAGTCTTGCTTCAGGAAATTTGGCAGGATCTGCTAGGTAACCACGATTCTTTGCATCAGTATAATATGGTACCAGTACTTCTGGGGGAAGCATTCGTTTTGGAATGGGTTGTCCACGTAGGAAGAATGGAACAGGTTTGCACAGAATTTCCAGACTTCGTGGATCATAGAAGGCAGTAGTGACAACACCACCATTTTTCTCAATTGCAGCAATGGCTAATTCTGAAGCCAACTGCACTTCAATATTAACTTTCGCTGTAAAGGTGTCAGCACCCTCCTCGACCAACTGGACACCATAAGCCCTTTTAAATGGCTGGATGGTCACACCTCTCCCATTGACAAGTTGGGTTAAGTCAATAGGTTGAGCAGGATCAACTCGACCCATATCAATAAGATACTGCAGTCTATTAAGACTCAAAGGTTGATACTGGCGCCTGAAGCTATGTCCTTCATTAAACCCATATTTTGGGATTCGGAGGTAAAATGGAGTCTGGCCTCCCTCAAAGCCCAGTCGGGGCCTGGTTCCTCTCTGCCTTTCTCCTTTGTGGCCCCTGCCGCATTTTCTACCTCTTCTCCAACCTCTTGGGCGTCTTTCCGGTTTCCTGGATTCGGCCTTAAATTGGCCAAGCTCACACGGGGCAGGGCTCGAAGCAGGTCTAGGGCCTTGGCCCCACCGCCCCGCGCAGGACCGGCCATGACCCCCCAATGCTGGACCTAAGTCCTGTTTTTATTAGCAAGAAAACAAACAAAAATGAGTGTGATTTAAGATTATGAGGAAAAGAAAAACAGGTTATTTCACTTATTTGAAACTTATCACACATGTATTATGACTATAATGAAGTTTTCCCACCTTAGTAAAGAATTTAATTACTTCAATCTTTTTTTTCCCCAAGCTGGTATGACTAAAATAAAAGGATATTGATTAAAACAGATGAAACAGGCAATTGTTTGGTCAGTTGTAAAAATCACCTTTTCCTGGAGTTATACAGGCTATGATGCTATTGACTGTCATAGTATAAAATCTCAAATACCATAAGAGCTAATGGTGCTGATTCTTTTTTTACATTAGCACATCTCACTGTACATTTAAAATTCAATTAAATCACAGAAGCTGCTCATTTAAAATCTTAATATGTTTGAAGATGTCTGGAAGTAAGTTATGGGGGAAGTGGAGATCCAGATAGCAAATTTAGGATGATTTCAAGATCACAGAAAGAAATTTGGTAAACACTGTATATTCTAGATGACAGAACTGAAAGTTAGCATTGGCCTTACAATACTAACAATGATATAATAGTTTTGAGTTGGACTTTTGTGCTTAAAAGTGTAATGCATGGGATACCATCTCTACACACCAGTAATACTAAGGAGCAAGTATTTGAATTCTAAATGAAAGGTCAGAGGAAACAGAAACATCCTTAGGGAAAAAGATGGCGAAGTTTGGCATTGAGTTCTCTCTCCTTGCTTAAAAGATCCAGGCTGTGCTTTTTGAAGGCTTCAGACTGCAGCCTGAGCTCATCATAGGCCTTCTGGATGCTATCTATCCTGCGCTGAAGCTCCCGGACTCTCAAGTTGCTATCTACTGCCACAGCCTCTAACTCAAACCTCTCTAGGGCATGCCTTCTAGCCACATCTGCTGTCTCCAGCTTCTCTTCAAGCTGTCGGATTTCTGCTTGCTTGCTCTGAAGCACCTTGCCCCTCTCCATGGATAACTGTAACAGCTCCTCTTTCTCCTGAGTGACCATCTGCAGCCTGGCCTGCAGCTCCTGGCTTAGGCTGCTGTGTGCCTCCTCAGCCTTGGCCATCTGCTCCACTGCCTGCTGGTGCTCCTGCCTGAGGCTCTGCAGCTCGCTGTGCAACTGTTCTGTCTCCTTGGTGTGGGCACAGGCCTGCAGGCTCTGCAGCTCCAGGAGCGCCTTCTCTCGGGCCAGTGCTTGGCAGGCATCCTGAGCACATCTCTTTTTCAGAGTCTCCAGCTCGGTGGCAAGAGCTTCACTCCGGGAGGTTAGCTGCAACACTTTGGCTTCCTGGTCCTTTAGAGCCTGGCTGAAAAGGTTGTCATTCTCTAGCCTCAGTTTCTCATTCTCCTCCCTCAATTTGACATTCTCACTCTTGTGTTCATCCTTGAAGCGAATCATCAACTCATGGTTGGCTGCCAGGGTCAGAAAGCGTTCCTCCAGCTTCCGGGCATGTTCGCTTTTGGCCTTCAGTTTCTCAGCCTCCAGCGTCCTCTTCTCTTCTAGTTCTGCGTTGAGCAGCTCCAGGATTTGACAGCGCTCTAAGGCTTCATCCGACCTCCTCTTCAGAATGCAGATGAGCTGGGACTGCTCCTGGATACGGGAGCGAAGCATTGCTTTCTCACTCTTCTCCTCTTCAGACAGTCCCCGGAGGCTTGCCAAAGCTTCCTTCAGACCGTCTAGTTCCTTAAACTCTTCCTCCTCGTGTTTCAGCTTTTCATTTTGCTTCTTCTCTAGCGGTTCTTTAATGGGTGGGGTGTCCATTCTGAGAGCCTGCTTGTCTTGAGGCACAGGCACCCCCCCTGAACTATCTCCACAAAAGACTGACCACACAGTCTTTTCCTCCTCAGATTTCAAAAGCCACAGTGTTGCTAGGGCCTCCTGGCACTGCCCAGCAGTTGGTTTTTCCAGTAAGGAGCCCTGTGATTGGTGGGTCAACCTTAGAATACGGTGACGTAACAGCAGGGGGCCCTGGGAGTGTCCGGAGCCAATCTGGTCATGTGATGCTTGTCTTTTTTAGCCAATCACAGCCTTAGCTCACCCGTCAGTGTCTGGCCTGGGCTGTAGAGAGAAAAGATGCCAACCCTACATGATTTCTAGCCAGCATTAAGGGAAGAAACCTTACTCCACCTAATGTCTGGTGGTAGTAAACAAATCAAGCTGGTCTGACAAATTCCTCCTCTTTCTCCCTGCTTCAGCTGTCATGAGAGTACATTGCTATCTGTAGCAATCTATAAATACAAAGTAGCAGTGGTACTTTTAATGACCGATACTTTTAGTGGCTGTGTGTACCTGTGTATTTGACATAGCTCAATAAAAGAGCAAATTTTAGGGAAATATTTGTTTCTCGTAGATTTGTCCCCAGCTGGGAATACATTTTATTAGATATTCAGCAGTCCTTATTTTTAGCCACTGGCAAAATGTTAACAAGTTTAATGAACAACAATAACATGATAAACTTTAGAACAAAAGAGATCCGGATGAGGCTTACCCTCATATACCAAAGTCAATTCCAGATGAATTAGATGTAGAGTAAAATAAAATCAAAGTATTGAAGAAGGAAGCTAGAAGAAATTAAAGGTAAGCTTTCAATCTCTGGAACAAGAAAGACTTTCTTAGCTTAAAAAATCTGGTGTCATTGAACATCTCAAATTATGTATTATTTAGAGAATATTTCATCTATCAAATTAATCAGATTACTCATTTTATAAAAATTTAAGTTAGATATAATTGTAATCAAATTAGTCAAATTTCCCCCTTTATTAAGACTATCCAGGACTGGAAAAGGTATAATGAAAAAGGCACTCGCTTCTAGTGTTCTAGTGTTGATGAAATACGATATACAGCATGTATTGAGAATTTATATATATATATATATATAATAACTATTGAACTAATGATTGTCTGAGGAGACATTTGCCTGGGAAATAATATGGGGGGAAAAGTTTTACTCAGTCTTTCATTGTATGTGGTTTATTACAACTAAAAGTTGGAAATCTAAAGGTCCAAAGAAGAATGCTAAGAAAATTATATTTTCATGTGACAGCTATGCAACCATTTAACATTATCATCTTTACATAGGTAATTTAATGGTATTGAATTGCTTGTTAGAAATAACTGAACAAAAATACAAGATAAAAAAACTTAAAATTTAGAATGATCTTAATGTTATGAAAACTAAGGTATAAAGCAAATGGGACATGAAAAAGCAATCCTGAGAGAGAATAGCAATGAACGTCCAGAGAAAGAAGATGTTCAGCTGTTTTTCACTTGGTTGTGTATATGGATGCCAGAGATTGGCAAAGAAGTCCTAGCAAGTCCCCTGATATACAAAGCTAGGCCTCTCTGAGGGAGTTAGACTAGGGCAACAGTGATGAGGCTTTGACAGACTCCTAGGCCATATAGGCAGGTCACAGTGTGGCAGGTCCTTATCACACATTTAGCCAGTGGTGAATGGGGAAATTTAGGCTTCTTTAGAAATACTTGGGAGTGGCTTTTGGAAATATTAATTCATTTTTTAAAATAACAGAATTTCAAAGTACTTCACTTCAAGGAGATACATATTGAGTGACTTGCCATCTCTTGTTTTCACCCGTTCACCAGTGTCCATATCTACACAAAATTTCATTCTTCTTATAATGGATCACTTCACACCAGCCAGAAAGAAGGCATATCATGCAGATGGGATCAATCATAGACTTTATAGACTTTTCTCTGTTCCACCTCTGTCACTATTTCCTAGCCCCTGATGAACAGAGCCTTGAGTTCCTGGTTTCAACATACAGGTCCCCGGCATACTTTGATGGTGTGTTAATCCAGTATTCTTCAAATATGTCTATCATTTTTGGGTTATTTTTAGGTGGGTTTCCAGGAAAACAATGAAATAAGCCCTGAAACATGTAGTTCAAAGAAAGGCTTCCAATATAAGGCATATGTATCAAAATTTTAGGAGCAACTGACTAAAACTCCCACTGACTCAAAAGTCTGTCAACTTGACAGGACTCCCTGGTGGCAGAGGGATTAAGTCACAGTGCTATCAAACTATAACCAGCCACTGCAGCATTAATTAGTTAGATCCATGGCAGGGAGCTGACATACATGGCACAGCAGACATCTCCTGTCTCACTGCTGTCCTAAGGAGTGCATTTCAATATAGCTGCCTGTTCTGCTCCCCACTCTCTATCTAGTGAATCACCTCACTACCACCCACTCA